TGATTTAATGTCTAACCATGTACCAGGGACTTCTAAAGCCATCCTGCGACTGTTGCAGATGATGGAATATTCATGTGTATGGCCCGTGACACTCTTCCCATGGCATCCAGTAGGGTTGGGGCTCCGAGCAGGCCCTTGTCTGCCAGTTACAAAACTTCTTCCACATAAAGAGGCATGTCAGAATGCAAGCCACTGGCCAGGGCATTATTACAGGATTACATGGAATCTGTTCTATTTGATTAAAATGAGAAAGATCATCAATCATTTGAAAGACTCGGCAGTTTGTCATTAGGTAGCCACTTGCCTATGACACACCTCACAACCGCTCCAGGCATGCAGCATGTCAGGACACCGCTGTGGGAGAACCGCTGGTCAAGATGATGCCAGAGCCACCAGTTGTGAAATGAAAAGCAATGCCAATTAACTCATTGTTTCATCTCTCTTGTGCCAAAGAATCAATCGATTGGGGAGAACACGTTGTTCACACTCATTGAATTGGCCGGTGGTCTTGGCCCTGTACAGACCTGAGTATCAATACCTTCCAGCCTGAGTATCAGGAATGTGAGTCTAGCATTAGGTCTCAGACTCCGAGGCTTGGAAGGAACCTCCAGAGATAGTTTGCATACATTCCCTTCATGTCACCAACAAGGATACGAAGGAACAGCCAGGTTGCAAGATTCGCTACAGGACTCGCAACACAATTGTGGACCATTGTTTTAGGAAAGAGGTCAATGCGGGCACATCTTGACCCACAGCATTTTTAACATTTTCGTAGCTATTTCAGAATCAAGATGCGCACCGAATGGCATTGCATACTTTCTAAAAGTAGACAAGAATTTGAGAAACACCCCGTGGTGCAATTGTTCATTGCTTAAACTTGCTGCTGACTCATTTGCCCTTCGCCTCTTCTTTACCAACATCGGTGGTGGCATTTGGTATTTATTGCCCCCCTCCCCCATCCCATTCTCCCTCGTTGGGCTGGCAATGAAGATGTAGTGACCTCACCTACACGAGTCCTCATTGGCTGGTGGACAGGACTCTGAGGTGAAGTCCTTGAAGGGATGCCCTGGGCACATGGATAGGACTCCTGCCCTCCAGGCTGTAGTAAGTCATCTGTCACCCAGGCTGTGGACTGTTCAGGAATGAAAGGGGTCTGTGGCACAAGGAAGCCGAGGTTCTCAGACTTCACCTTTTTGATAAAGGCTAAATTACCCCTCCAGACAAAACTCTTCAGGTGTTAAGGGGGAAAAAAATCTCATTCACAATATTCATAAAACTCATTCACAAGACCCTCTCGGATGCGCGTCTTCCATATTAACTGTGAATTTCACTTTTTCATTTGCTTGTGCTCTCTGCCTCTGAGACAGTCAATTTGGTTGTGGTCTCTAACCACAACCCCTTCTCAAGTCATGTTAAGAATCACTGCTATCCCAGTGCTTCAAGGGACATGGGGAAAAGGAGTGCCAGACCGGTTCTGTCTGGCCCTGAGGTGGAGGCGTAGAGTCAGTAGCCAAGAACTAGGCTGAATGCTGTCCGTGCCCTGTCTGAACCTTTGGCCCTTGTCCATCCTCGCAGGCCCAGGAGCAGTCTTTGGCATGGCCAGAGGACTCTTGGGCTTGGGGCGGGAAGCCAGCCCTTTGCCCTAGATGAGCACATGGAGTGGCCCCACCCCCACCCCGAGAGCGCACCCCTTTCCTTCTTGTCTGGGTTTATGCAGCTTAGAGAAATACTTGGGGCACTCACGGGAATATGGAATGACAGGGTGACATCTTAGGACCACCTTCCTCTCACCCACAACAAACAGAAGGGAGGAAAGGACCCACAGTGTGGGGGTGGTGTCCTTTCCTGGAGTCCGTGGATTGTTAAAAAGATACGGTGGAAGCTTGCCCCTTACTAGGTCTTTTCTCTACGCATCTTTACTACAAAGCTGCATGCAGGCACACACACACACACACACACACACACACACACGCACACGCACACGCACACGCACACGCACGCACGCACACACACACACACACATGCACACGCACACGCGCACACACACACACACACATGCACACACACACTATCAGTTGTTCCTTTGAGGCCACTACGTTCAGATTCTTGAAGACTTTAGAAAAGTTAAAGAATTCAGAGCTGAAGAAGTTAAGACATTAAGGGAAAGCAGAGTTAAGAGCACAAAAGTCAGGAATTATATTATCCTTGTAGTTGGTTTGGGTTCGGGGAGGAAGACACCATCTAAGGAACGTTTCAGGATGTGTCCACATTGGTCACTTTCCTCGTGCTGTGACCTGAGAGGACGTGGCTTCGGCCCCACCACTCCAGCGCCAGGTGAAAAGCCTCTGTTTAGTTGCATTAATTTCTTAACAGTTGCCTGTACTTTCTCTGCGCCCTTCTCATCCACAGCTTCAACTGTCCTTTCCTTCCTCTCCAAACTGCACATTTCTTAGGACACAGAGAGCATTAAATTCGGGTGATCATCTGGCCTCTTCATTTCTTTCCTTCTTATCAGTAACGGAACCAAGCCTATGGGGTGGAATAACCCACATTCAGGATGATTCTTTCCTCCTCAGCTAAACTTCTTTGGTCACTGAGGGTCTCCTTGCAGGGAACCCAGCTCAGATACACATTGGCTGATCTCAGCAACATTCTGGGACCTCGGTTAAAAGGTCTCAATGACCCTGTAACTCTTGCAGACTCAGCCAGAGTTGTGTCTTCTTGATGATTCCAAACGCCAATCAAGCTGGTAATCACACTTCACCATCACAGTGTCACATCCTGTTAGTGGTTTTCGTAGGCTACTGAGCAAATTAACCCAGATGTCTGTGATGGAGACAGCAGTGTCGCTTCCATCCAGCAGCACCGGGGACACACGGCTGAAGATGTTCACTGAAGAAGTATTTGTGAAAGTGACTAATCAGAAAAAAAAAAACAACCCTCATTTTCTGTTACTTTTTAAAAAATATCTAGGACTGACTAGTTTATGAAGAATACAGGTTTATTCAGCTTACAATTCTGGAAGCTGGAATGTACAAAGGCATGTTTCTGACACCCGATGGTCTCCTGGTAAGGGTCTGAAACACACATTATATTGGTAAATTGTCATGTTCTGTTAAGTTTCCTGAAGGTGGACTCTGGAAACAACGAGGCCGTCTCTTGTCTCCTCCAAAACTCCTTATCCTGGGTCAGCCTGGCCCCCTGGTTCTGTAACAAAGAGAGGCAGAAACGGCCAGCAGGCCGAGAATAGTAGAAGCATCATGTCCTTGAGAACAGCTGGGAGGTAAAGGATTTGCAAGTATCAAGAAACTCATCCATGGAAAGGAAGCGCAGTCAGGAACTGCAGCTGACTGCCTCAACTTCCCCAGGCCATTTTTGCTGGGTATTGTAAGGACCAGTTTGGTGATGCTGTCTTTGTTTGCTCGTCAATTCGGCTGCTCCAGCTGGACCATGAAAACAACTGACTTGAAGATGTTTAGCTGCTCTTTCTATCTCTATGGTACTTGATATCTCTTTCTTTTTAACTTTTACTTTCTCTCTATATAAAACCTGGTCATTGTAGATCATTCTCTGGACTGTACAGAACAGGGACTTCCTGCTACATCAAAGCATGGCAGAGCACATCTCAGGGTAAGGAAGAGCAAGCTCATCGGAGAACTTATGGCTTTTTTTGTTGTTATTGTGGCTTTCTCGTTTTTGGTTTAGTGTGTGTTTAATGTGTCTGTGTGCATGCTCATACAGTCAGCCATGCGTGCCACTACATGCATGTGATGGTCAGAGAACAACTGAGGGACCCGGTTCTCTTCCAGCATGTAAGTTCCAGGGATCCAATCAGGCTGTCAGGCTTGGCAACAAGCATTTTCACCTGCCCAGGCATCTCACTACCACCATCCCCCCTTTTCATACTTACCTATATATTTATCTTTGTTTCTGTCTTTGTTTGGTTTGGTGGGACTGGGGATTAAACCCAGGACCATTGATATACATTTGTAGTCATTGTTTTTATTCATTTTGAGGTGGATCTTGCTAAATTGCTGTGGTGGTTTAAATAAGAATGGCCCTCACAGACTCATATATTTGAATGCTTAGTCACCAGGGAGTGGAGCTCTTTGATGGGATTAGAAGGATTAAGAGGTGTGGCCTTGGAGGAAGTGTGTCACTGGGGGAGGAGGACAAAGGATGGGGTGGGGGAAAGCTTGGGGTTTCAAAGTCTGTTCCAGGCCCATTCTCACTCTATTTTTCTGCCCTGTGGATCAGGATGTAGTTCTCAACTCCTTCTCCAGCACCACACCTTCGTGCACGCTACCATGCTCCCAGCCATGATGATAATGAACTAAACCTCTGAAGCTGTAAGCAAGCCCTCACTTAACTCTTATTAGCGCTGCTTTGGCCATGGAGTTTCTTCACAGCCATAGAACCGTGACTAAGACAGTTGCTAAGGCTGGCTTCAAACTTAGGGTCCTCCTGCCTGAGCCGAGAGCTGGAATAACAAACATGTATTACACCTCCAAGTGAGAACTCACTTTTACAAGGCAGTCATTCTATCTATTAATCTATTAATCAGTGAATGGATTAAGCCATTCATGAGGATGGAGTCCCCTGCCGAACACTGACACAATAGCAATCAGATTTCAACATGGGTTTCAGAAGGAACAAGCTGTATCCAGACCGCAGCAAACTGAAATGTCCATCGGAGGTGGGGGCATGAACTGTGGTTTTCTTGTACTGTCCAGTTATTCAGAAGTTAAAATGAGTGTGCTTGGAAACACAATACTGGATTAAAAAAAAAAAAAACAAAAAACAAAAAAAAAAACCAGCAAGTTCCCAAACGATAGGGTCACTGTGACATCACTTATGTAAAAATAAAAAGCACTCAGAGTATTGCTAGGTGTAATTTATGGGTAATATGGGGGAGAGCACATGTGTCAGAAAAATACCCACTGATTGCGGGATAGCAGCTGTGTGTTTGGAGAGAGAAAGGGGCACAAAGGGCACCGAAGCAGGTGTTCAAGGTCTTTTATTGTTGTTGTTGTTTGTTTTAAGAATCCGATGCAAATACAGCAAAATGTTAGCTTCTGCCGTTTCTTGGGCAGGGTACGAGGTCCTTGTTCTATTTCTCTTTGTATTTTGCTGTAAGGTTGCAATACTTCAAAACTGAGAGGAAAAAAAGAAAAAGAATAGTACAAAATCCCAGCTGTACTTTACATGCGTTTACATGCACAGCACATGAGAAGGGAGAACCTTCTTAGGACGGACTTCCCTGAGTTTCCAATGAGTGCTCGCAATGTGGTTTTCTTTGCTGCAGAAATGGACACCCAAGGGGGCTTCCACCCACTCCAGCCAATTATCCTATGTCCTTCTGATCTCACGGCTCATAGAAATGGACCCCATTTCCTTCATTCAGATGCGGGGTAAAAATGAGAATACAGGAAGCTGGCTGCCCCAACCACCTCAACAGCTGCGGGAGGCCTCAGTGCCTGGGTTCCAAGCTCCCCCACCCCCCAGCTGCCAGCTGCTTCTCTACCTAGAGGGAAGTCCTACCTAGTTCTTCCTTTAGCTTTTTTCTTTCTCTGTCTTTCCCAGGGTACTGCTGTAGAACCGCATTCCTTAGGCATTCAGCAACTCCCATTTCCAAATGTCAATACCTGGATTCCTTTCTCATGAATCCACCCAAGCTGAAGCCTGGAACGGTGTGAGTGGAGGCTTTTTATGATGTCCCTGGGTTCCACCTTCAGTTCTGGTTGAAGGCATCAGGTGCTGAAAATGGTTGAACAACAGGCTCTCTGAAGACATTTCAAAACTAACCAACCAACCAACCAACCAACCAACCAACCAACAAAACAAAACAAAACAACAACAAAAACAAAACAAACAAACAAACAAAAAACAGGCACCAGACTGAAGCTCCTGCCATTATCCAGTGTGATGCTGAGCTGAAGGTCCCAAAGTGGCCCCTACTTTGAGAACCTCTGCCCGGAAAGACTGAGCCCTGGATTGTTTTAATGGCCCTGCAGCCTTGACATAAAGGTGTTCAAAGAGGGACTTCTTGTTCTCTCAGCAAAGGAGCCATGTCCCAGACCACTAGTCTACAGGCTCTGTTCCCATCCTGAATGCCCTGACCACGCCTCTAAAGGGCACAGCCTTCAGGATGGCTGTGCACTGATCCCAGGATCTCGAAGGGCAGAATCAGATCTGAGATGACTCCTGGCTGGACAAGGCACAGACTCTGGGAAAGAAAGAGGGAAGGGATGAGAAAGGAAGTGGGGGAGAGAAAGAGAAAGGATAAGGAGGGAGGCAAGAGTCCAGAGCAGAGATGCAGTCTAGCTGGGGTCAGCAGCTCCCCAGCACTAAGGGCACAGATGTAAGGAAAGCATCAATGACACCTGTCCAGTCCCCTACATGTGACTTCCAGCTTCGTTCAGGGAGTTCTGTGGTGTTCCCACTGTCACCCCCACCCCAGATGCTGCTGCTGGACCAGGCCACCTTTGGGGCAGCAGAGAGGCTTTGTAGAGTGAAGAGGAGAGGATGGGCTGGCAGGTGGGGCAGGTGAACGGAGCTGCTGACGTCATGTCGGTGTGCAGGGTCATGTGTTATGCTTATGGGAAGCGATAATTCCAGCCGCCTTTGATGTCCCCCGCTCCAGCTGGACTTCCGGGAAGCCCTTAGGTCTCTTCACTGCTGCTGATTTCTCCAGCCTCTTTCTCCCAGATTCCGGATCTCAGGGGGTCCTCACACCCACAAACCCATCCCATGTTGTAACAGCTCCCATTCTGATGTTAGCATTGTGCCCTAGTTCTGCTTGCCGGTTAGGAGGGGTGAACCTGGGAGGGAGCCAGTGGTAGCTGAGATGCCCTACACATTCCTCTATACCGATCGTGAGGTCTACAAGAGGAAGGCGATTGGAGCAAAGCCTCTTTATCTGCATGGTCTGCAGGGCCCATATGCCCATATGGATCAGATCCCAGCCTTCAGCTTCCTGGGAAAGGGGCACCTTGCCCAGTGCCCAAGCGGCACCTTGAGCCTCTTGAGAGGGGAAATTAGCCATCTGGAGAGATTTCTCCTGATGCCTCTCCATTTTCCCTCTCCTTCTTGATTTCTCTTGGCCACTCTGCTTATTTGCTTCCTATGCCCAGACGTGATGCTCCACAGGTGGGGGGAGCCCTCCAGGCTCTGCCTCTCCAGCTAGACGGCTATCCCTCCCAGCTCCTTTGGACTCCGGGACTTCGGGAGCTGCAACAGAACAGCGCCCTCTGCCTTCTTCAGGTCTCTCCACCCCCTGCTCCCCGAGAGCGTGGCCACCTTCTCCCCTGTGTCCTCCATACACAGATGGCCACGCAGATCCCACCTCAGAGCTGACATGCATTAGGCCCAGAGCTGGGACCCACGGCCCTGTAAGGAAAGGGTTATTACCTTGTTTTGTGGATGAGGAGACAAGCCCTGGGAGGGCTCGCAGCTGTCCCGAGAGCACACAGCTAGTACAGGAAGACTGGGATCTCTGGCTCCAGATCTGACCGACTCACAAGGCCAGGTTCTTCCTATATACATCGGAATCTGAAATCTTTTCTGAAAGATGCCTTCTAACCGGAACAGCTCCCCGAAGGAACAGAACTGTGACTTGAGATACTCGACTAAGGAGCTAGGGGCAGTCAAATGCCCAGATTGTAGACGCAGAAACCCATTTTGAGGGGGCGATTCGTCCCAGGTGATGAGCGAGCTGTAAACAAGCTCACTGAAGGACGCCTCACATTATCAACCTTCCCCACCTACTGCCACCCCGCCCCAGGCTCTGCGCCCTTCGGGATGGGACTGCTCTGCTTTCCTAATCTGCTGGGAAAGACTCTAGAGTAACTCACAAGGGAGGCTGTAAAGGGAACTACCCCACGATGACCGCACGATGCCGCCCATGAGCCATGCACACCGTTGCCACTCGCACGCGGGGGCTGGTAGCCTAGCGAATCTGCTGTGTTTGGGGTCAGAATGGGGAGGTCCGGGAGCATCAGAGCCTGTGGTCACAAGATGAGTCAGCCTTGTAAGGTGGCCCGTCGACGACATGCCTTCTCTGCTGATGTCTGCCTGTCTCCAAGTGGGGGCCCCCCACACCTATGGTTCCCGATTCTGACCTGTGAACTCAGCTCTCTTTCCCGAACCTCCGCAGCGCACTTCCAGCCCCACTCAGGCTCACTTACTGTGAGGTTCCCACACCCGCTCACGTGCCGCCTTAGATTTGCCTCCTGTGGCTTCTGCACGGGGATGGAGCCTTCTGGGGGCTTCATTTCTCAAGATCTGTGGCATTGTTGATAGATAATGAGACTGACGCTGTACCCCTCGCCTTGGGCTGCCCCCCACGCCGCACCTGGATGTAGAGCGTAGAAAGATCCAGATAAGGAAAGGCACCGAGCTGGCCTCCTCTCTACTTGGGGCCTTTCAACCTTGGTGGGATGGGGGAGGAGGGGAATGAGATGGATACCCATGTGGTCACCCCCGACCGGCTGTGACTTCACCACAGCTGCAGAGGCATCCCCAACTCCGTCAAATTGTCATTACCTGTCCTTACCACCTCTGGAAACTGAGGACCCGGTGATTTTAAATCTTTCTATGTTATGTCGGTCCTCTGATCTTTATCTCCACACGGCACTCACCTTTAGATAGTTCCTCTGGATTTTAACTCGGCCCTTGACTATGGACCTTCGTCAACGCACCCAAGTGGCCTCCTCTCAGGACGCTGACAGATTTCCCCCAGGTCGGGCCCTTTACCCCAGCGTGTGCAATCCCCTCTCCTCCCTCTAGAGGGCTCTGAATCAGCGGTAAGTAAAGGTATCCACTCCATTTTCATGAACAGTCAAGGATTTTATTTGAAGGATTTGTAGTGACTCGAGGGAGGAAGGAGATAGTGGCCACTCAGGCTAAGGGAGGGCAGATGCCAGGCACCTCATCCTGGGCAGAAGCTCATCATCTTCTCTTCGCATGGCTGCTGGGATCAGTCCGATCAACTGTGGTTTCCCCGTCCCAGGTCTGCACACCGACAGCCAGGCCTGTCTCGGATCTCATGTCTCCTCGATGCACAGGGAGGGTTGGACATACCGAGTGACAGTCCTGCCGGGAGCGCCCACGGTGGCCAGCGACATTCACCCAAGTGGCCTTCTCTGGCCTAGACTGGAGCCACTCAGTGAACACTGCCTACCAGGCAAGGGTTACAGGTAGGAGGTGACTGGGCACAGAAAGCCTTAGGGCAGCAGTTCTCAACCTGTGGGTCACACAGCCCTTTTGGGGGTCACATATCAGATAACCTGCATATCAGATAATTACAATTCATAAAGGGGAAAATTAGTTATGAAATAGCAATGAAACAATTTTATGGTTAGGGGTCACCACAACATGAGTAACTGTACTAAGGGGTCACAGCATTAGGAAGGCTGAGAAGCACAGCTTTAGGGCTTGACCCGTGGTCACCCAGCAACACAAACATTGGGTTTGGTATGACTCACCTGGAACCCTTGGAGGTCTCCCCTGTAGACCACGCCCCCCGTAGATACTTTTTGGGGTAAGGGCTTCCTGACTACTGTCGAGAGAACAGCAAGCCCAGACCGCAAAAAGATCCAAAGGAGGCAGCTGCAGGAGGGCTGCAGGGGGATGCCGGCCCTCCCAGGCCAGGGCTTGCATCAGCAGAAGGGTTCAAGGAAGCAGAGGCGGGACCTGGAGAGAAGGAGAGGGAAGTGGAAGGAGGCAGGGCCCCGGGATGCAGGCGGGCAGGTGACAGGGATCCCAGCTGCACCCACTTCTACCCACCCCATGTCAATCTACCTGCCGGGGTGGGTAGAGAGCAGATGGGTCACGTGCCCTGATGTGCCAGGCAGCTGGAGTCTCTCTCCTCTTCTGCTCTGTGAGGATTTTATGGTCCCCTGCGATGACTGGGATTCAACCATTGCAAGGATCTTCTGTGTCCTGGATTCTACAGCATCAGCACACCCAATTCCCCCTGTAGACTCACCAAGAGCCTTCCAGAAGATGCCGTCTCTGGACACCTCTGGGCTAAGGCCTGGATTCTGATCAGCTTCAGCAGATACCATGGTATGATGAAGAAAGGTGGAGGCTCCAAGCCAGGCCCCATTTGCACCCTCCCCCCACCTCCATGGTCTTAAACAACTTTGGTGACCCTTGCTCCCGGAATGAAGGTAGGAGAGCTTTCCAGGAAGGAGCCCTGCTCCCCAGTAGCCTGGGTCTTTCCCACTCTACCTGGAGGTCCCTGAGGCCTTAGCCAGGGAGCAGAGAGGTCCCAGCTGGGTGGACATTGAGGGACTGTTGATTGGATGGTTCTGCTTCTCAGCCAAGTCCCAGCTCAGGTCGGCCCATGTTTTGCGTTTCCTGAAGGGAGTCAAGGAAGAGCTGTCTACCTGCCAAAGCAACAGAGCTCATTAGCAGAGGCTGCCTGAAGACACCCGCAGCCCAGCTCAGCCGCTGTCCAGGGTAGGGAAGAGAATGTAGGATGAGACAACCTGGGGCAAACTGCAGAGAAGGGCCTGGCGACAAGCGCGGCTGTAAGGTTCTGAGGGCGCCTTTGTAAGAGAGATCTATGTTGCTTCCTGTGGGGGGCGGGGAGCTGTGCTCACTCTCGGGAGGAAGAGGAGGGGAATCCTCTCCTACCCTGCTGAGCAGGTGGACCTCCCCTCTGGATGCTCACTTTGGGAGCCCCAAAGCTGGAGGGGACTCCAGGGCCACAGGCATCTCACTGTGGGCTCACTCTCTCGCACAGGCTGGAGAACTGCTGTGGGAGACCCCTGACTCCAGGTGCTGGCAGCTTTGCCTGGTCTACCCCCCCCACTCCCCCCGCCCCCGTTAGCATGGTCCCCGGGAAACCCCTGAATCCTGTTCCCCAGCTCGCTCCTGCCTTCCTTGCCTGGCTGCAGCTTGTGCCAGAACAAGCAGGAGGGAGGCTGGGGAAGGGAGGTCCATGCTTCGGATGGGTTTACACTGAGTCACACGAGCTTGGAATTCAGGCCATCCAGCAGGCTGGTAAGGGCTGTCATGGGAAGGGAGTGTGGCAGCCCCTGCCTCTCTCACATGGTCCTTGCCCCTGAGGACACTCTTTGGTATTCACTGTGTCTTCCCCACCCTTTCCACAGCTTCTTCCGATTCTTTATTTCATACGGTCACTCCCCCAGCACTTGCTACAAGCCTGCACGGTGCTGCAGGCTTTCCCTGTGGGGATGCCCTTGTTCCTATATGAGGAAATGAAAATCCAGCTCCAGGGGAAAATCCCCCTGGGTCCTCCCGGGTCTCCTAACTCATTCCTCAGCACATTGCTGGGTCTTCAGAAGCCTCTAGCTCAGCAGTTCTCAACCTGGCAGGTCACAACCCCTTTGGGGGGGGGGTCCCATATCGGATATCCTGCATATCAGATATTTACATTATGATTAATAACAGTAGCAAAATAACATTTATGAAGTAGCAATGAAAAAATTTTTATAGCTAAGGGTCACCACAACATGAGGAACTGTATTAAAGGGTTACAACATTAGGAAGGTTGAGAACCAATGTTCTAGCTGCTTCTCACCACCTCTTCAAGACATGACCTACCACCTTCTCACAAGATCCCTGTTTCTACACTTGCTGTCCAGAGTCCCATCTCCACAAGTGACCAGAGCCACCCTTCAGAGACATCCTTTTAACGGGATAGCTCAGTTGGTAGAGTACTTGCTTAGCGTGCATGAGGCCTGGGGTTTGGCCCTCTGCACTACCGAAACTGGGTGTGATGGGGCACACCTATAACCCTAGGTTGGGAGGCCGGAGGATCAAAACTTCCAGGTGAAGGTGACCTTTAGCTACATAGAGAGTTCAAGGTTGGTTTGGGATATATAAGATCCTTCCTCAAAAACCGAACAAAGCAAGGGGGAAAAAAAACCCAACCAAGTAAAGACCCATCGTATCTCTGCGTAAATCTTTCTTCAGTATCTTTTAATCTCAGTTCCCAATCCCCACCACAGAAGCAACCAATGAGCCCAATCCCACCCACCCCTGCCGCCTCTCTCACCTCACCCCTATCACCTGGCCATTCTTTTCCAGACACACTGGCTTCCTTGCTTTCTGTGACAGTTTCAACTGTGTCTCGGCCTCGGGGTCTTTGAACATGCTGTCCGTTTACCTGGATGATCTATCTTATCCTGCATAGCCTCAGTCCTCCCGAGGTCTCTTCTCAAATGGAGACTTTCTTAAAGAAGCTATGGTGATTAATTGTATGTGTTAACTTGACTGAGACTCAGAGTGTCTAACTATTTGGTCACTGTATTGAATGTGTCTCCAAGGACATTTTTAAAGATGAGATTAACATTTGTATTAATAGGTCCATAAAACAGTTGCCTAATGTGAGTGGGTCTCATCCAATCCTCAAAGGCCTGTAGTGTGGTTTGAGTATAAAATGTCCTCTATGGGCAGAGAGAGAGAGAGAGAGAGAGAGAGAGAGAGAGAGAGAGAGAGAAGGAGAGAGAGAGAAAGAAAGCAGGAGAGGAGAAAAGTATAGCCTTGAATAAGGACCTATGGAGAAGATGGGCTGATATTTAATTGCTCCGCGTATTTGGACCTCAGAGTGCTGGTACAGGAGTGGTGGAGAGCAGGATATGTGGGAGGACAAGGGCTCAGATGGCAAGGCCAGGACACCATTAGTGGAAACAGAGCTCTTGTGTAAACGAGAAAGCTGTGTTCCCATGGCTAGTACCCCTGTCCAAGAACTGGAGACACAGCTTTACTCTGTGCTAGATTAGGGGAGCAGGACCCCACAAGCGGCTCTTCAGAGACAACCGTGACTTCCCTCTCTCCAGCCACATATCAGAGAAGTCCCCAAGTCCTGCCTCCAAAGGCTGCTCAGCTTCCTACTTCCTGCCATCCCAACCCCCACTTATCAGCCCACCTACCCCGACAGTGGCTCTGTACCCTCTAGGAATAAGATGTCACCTTCCCAGTTCCCTCCTGAGACCTGACAAACATAAAACCATGAGCTAGCATGTGGAAAGGGGTTCTCGGTGACCCCCTCCTGCTCCAGCTTCTTTCATACCGGTCAAGCCACTGGTCTAAGTTCTGGAAAGCGCTTTCCTTAGGCCTCTTCCCTGAAGATCATAAGTGGTAGGATAAGCGAGCCCAGTATTTATGCCCTAGCGGGGCAGGGTCTAGGGAGGCTGACTCTCCCTGTGGCTCCAACACCCAACCATAGCTTTGACTCTTTTGCTTGGCACCTCCTTGCTCAGACAGAAGCCATCCCACGGGAGCACTGTCGCCCTCTAAGCCAGCCCCATGCCCCATCCTTTCTGCCAGTCTCCACTCTTCCCACAGAAACTCTATCACCACCCTCTCTCCTTTTCCTGGTCCATGCCCTCCCTTGTTGCTCCACCAACCCCGCCTGCTTGCAGAAACTTCCCTTGGCTGCTTTAATCCCTTCCTCAGAATCCCAGTAGCAGTGAAATTCATCCATCACCCAGCTGCTCACTAGGTAGACATCACCTGAGTGCCTGCACTTGCATGCCCTGTGCTGAACACAGCGGACAGAGAAACGAGCCCCCTGAGACCTTGCCTGCCAGGAGCTTCCAGATGAGAAGGCCAGTGTGGACATTTCTCCCTGGGTGCTGCGGTCACCTCGCACAAAACATTCTGCAGCCGTCTGAGCAACCGCTCCTGGAGCTGGCCCATCCTCCCATTCTGCTCTCTACTCCTACACAAGTAATGATGGGACCAGGCAGGTGTCTGTACGTAAATGGTGGAGGACAGACCCAGTGCTGGAGGAACCCAGGAAGCTGAGACTCTCTAAGATGGATGGGATGAGGGAGGGGAGCCTGGGAAGCTTTTCCAAGGTGGTCTGCGCAGTGTGGGGGAGTGAGAGGTGGTTGGGGACAGGGATGCGGAGACAGAATGGACAGCACAAAGGCTCTCAGAAAGACTTCCACCAAAGCTTGGTGTTCCGGCCAGCAAATGGGTTTGTAGCTCTTCCAGTGAGCCATAGATCATCTCTGAAGGGTTTTGAACAGGAAAGTGAAAAGGGACAGGCTGCTGGTGAGTAATAGCTTCTTAGTAATCTGATGAGCAGCAATGGGGTACAGATTGACCTAGGAAGGTGGGGCAAAGAGAATGGGTTGCAGCAAACTTCAGATATAATAGCCAAGAAAGGACAGGGTACAGATTATCTGCTAGGTGGGGAGAGGGGTCCCCGGGGCAAGGGCAGGGGCCTGCCCCTAGAGAATAATAAGGTGACTAGATCGTATACCATAGGCAATCCAATTTAATAAGGGGATGTTAAGGACCCATGATGTACAGAGATAAGCAATGTCACTGTCAGTTTTCAAGATGCAGGATTTGATAATGAGGATAGTATGTGAAGGGCAAAAGTGACCGGAGGAGGCAGAAATAGAAACTAAAGAAGGGAGGAGGCATGCTGTCTTCGGGGCACGGGTCCCTCACTGTGTTATGGACACTTCCACCACTCCAGGCTGGTTTTCCCAGCGCTGTTCCCCCGCCTAAGATGACAAAGTGTAACAGGACAGCCACGAAGCCTGCATCCCACCCTGAGGAAGGGCCTCAGAGCCATGCCTTAGCCCACACAAGGGGAAGGATGTGCACCATGCAGAGCCTAAGCCCAAGGATTTCACCTAGCTCTGAACACTGTGTGAGTGACCTTGCGTGACTCCATGCTCCTCTAGCAAAGCACTGGCCACACTTAACTATAAAACAGGAATGCTTCTGCCTTCCAAAGAGGAAGTATGTCCATCCCCCAACGGCACACTGCCGCTGCATCTCTACTTTCTTATTCCTTCATTTCTGAAGTCTCAAGGTCAAACTTCCAAATGCCTTTTGAAGCTACCCATTTGTCTCTGGCCACCCCACCCCCACCCCCTACCCTACCCCCGCCCTGCCCTGAGGAAGACCTAGTGCTCTTGGGATCTCTGGGACTAGAGGCCTCCTCCTGGCCCACTCCACAGGAGCCCTGTCTCCCCCCAAATTTAAATGCAAACCTGCTTTTCTTCCTCCACCACCTAAGAAATCCTTAAGTGGTTTCTTGCTACTCTTAAAAGTAAATCACGTCTGATCACCTGCCTTCTCCCCATGCGTCTCCTGTGTCAATCTTCTCCTCTCTCTGGATGTTCCAGCCTTATTGGCATGCCTCCAGCTCCTTGAACACTCCAAGCTCGCCTCGGGGTCTTTGCCCTTGCTGTCCCCTCTGCCGGGGACAATGTCCCTCCCACTTCCCTGGATGACTCCAGCACAGCCTGCAGCGGGGAGCTTAATTATCACTCCCTCTAAGAGACCATCCCAGAGCACCCAAATTAAACTGACCCTGTTAGTCCATCGCCGAGCGCCCTGTGCTTATTCCCTGAGCTTTCCTCTCCTTTTGCAAATATATATGCACGGCAGTGGTTCCTTTGTTGGTGGACTTAATGTCTGTCTGTCCCTCTGGACTAGATCCCCGAGGACAGAAGGCTTGTCTGTCTTATTAGCAGCTGTACACTCAGCACTCATAATTAGTGTTGACAGAATGGAAGAAAAGGTGCATTGAACAAGGAAGGCAAGAAGCAAAGAAGGAAGAGACAGAAAGGGTGGTCTGTGTCTTCGGACCTCCAAAGCAGACCCTCAAAATGGCCGTGCTGGTGACAATGTCCTAAACAGAAGGACTCTGGCCGGTTAACTGAAGCCTAAAGGTCGGTTTCTGTTTACCAGAAAGGGAGATCTCTAAGGCAGTTTCTGTTTACCAGGAACCTCTCTCAATCCCATCCCGGGAAGGTCAACTACTGTGGACAGGGCATCTAGTTCCCAACAGCCTGTGTGAGCTCAAAGACTATCCCCTGCTAACTGTCATAAAATCTGCTTGCTTTTCTGACATTTTACTTCTCTCTGCCCCCTGAACCCTACCCCAAGAAGTAGCCTTGGCAGTTTGATCCCCAACAGACCTTTCTTTCTACCCATGGAGTGATTCAGCTCAGTGGTTTCACTGAGCCCTCCATTGTAGTCTGGTGGCAGGATCTCTGGGTTGAGCTTCTGTGACTATTCTAAGATTTGGGTGGACAGAAAGGGTGGCTGACTGGAGTCTGCAGGGGAATTTGTTCTGAACTGCCCATCCCTCACCACCCTCAAGGACAAACAGCAAGGCGTAGGCTCCATCCTCAGAGGTGGGTGCTTTCTGTCCACTACTTCCTGGTCATGTGAAGAGGCAGAAGAGAGGGGATCAGGCAGAGGGGACCTAGGAGTAGTCAGAAATATGACCAAGAAATCAGCCAGAGAAGGTCGTTGTCAACACAGACAAGCCACTAGACTTCAGACAGGACCATGAGCAGACAGAGAGGCTTTGTGACCTGGGCCTCGGTGTCACAAGTGAGCAAAGCTGGGTAGAGGGGCAGGGCAGAACCTTGTCTCAGCGGCTGCTTTGGACCTGTGTCTTGTTTTGCAAACCAGGCTTCTGCCAATGGGGAGAGAGATTCTCACTGTTCATGGCCCTTGCAAGTGAAGTGGATGCTACAGCAATCAGCCAAAAAGCCCTCTCTTTAAGGGCCACATCTTCCTTTTGTAATTGTGATTAATGGCAAGTGAGTGACCCTCCCCTCCCTGAGAGCTCTGGGAGAGGGTTCTTCCAATGGGCATACAATATTTGTTTGTGCTATGACTGGGATGTGGTTTGTTCCCGCTAAAAGCTCTGTTCAAGTTTGGTGGCTTTGCTGGGAGGAGGGACCTTTAACAGGGATTCATGCCTTTCTCTTGAGACTGGGTGAGGACACTTGAGAGTCCGGTCACAAGGCCGGTCCACCCTCTGTTCCCTCCCAGCCTCCTACACGCTCAGTCACTTGCACTTTCTACCCTACCTCGGGAAACACGTGGCTCTCACCAGAAACTGAAAAGATGGTAGCGTCTTGCTCTTGGCCTTGTAGATCCATGAGCCAGAGTAAATGGATCTTCTTTATAAATGATCTGTCTTCAGACATTCCGTTACGGCAGCACAAATCAGACGAGACACTGTGTAATTTCATTTCGTGATTTCGTCACCTGGTGAGTGACTCATCTTTCTTCAGTTTAGCTTCATGTTTCTTGATTTGTCACCTGCCTGGCAACAAGTTGTTCCTTGTCATTTTCTCTGTGGAGTATTTGTTTTCATTAGTTCACGTTAAAATAGAAATATTTCTTATTTGAGTGTACCGCGCTAATTTATAGGCCAGTATTTACATTCTTTTTTATCAGCTCAGTAATAATATTTTCCAGACCTATTACAAGTTCTCATTGTCTTCATGGTTTCATTAACCATAAAATGAAACTAAATAGAGTAACAGTTGTTTAATTTAACATATGAATCTTATTCTTGTTCTGAAAATAATTTAGATAAAAATAACGCTGTGTACACTGACTGGTGATGAATTGAGACAATGCCATTTATAAAACTCCATTCTATTGATATCTTTAGTGCTCCTTTCTTTCTGATGATAATGAAAATCCAACCCCCCACCTCCCGTTCCACCTACTTAAACTCACTTGGGGGAATTGGACTGGGAGGTGGGGGAGGGGCCTCCAATCTTGAAGACTGTCGGTTTTCCCTGGGGCTCTCCACATCAAAAAGGGGGTATGGACATTTTCTCTGGATGTCCTGAGTCCCACGGATAAATGTGTTAGAGGATCTGACTTCAAGAAAAAGACCTTTCTATAAGGTCAATCGCTCCCTCATTTCAAGTACAGATGAGGCCTGTTGGCAGCACCCTCTGAATTCTGAGGGCACTAGAAACCCCAAACTGCACAGCTGGTGACCATGTTGCACCCCGGGAGTGGTCCTGAGGATCCTGCTATTAGGCCTGGAGCGGTCCTCAGAGATGGCCTGCAGCTCTGCAGACAAGTAGCCTAAAGCTTCGAACAAATGCAAACAGAGCTGTGGGAGCTGGAGACCTCGGAGTGGGGGAGTAGGAGCCGAGGGCTTGAGCAGGTTTTTTGTTTTTGTTTTTTGTTTTGTTTTGTTTTGTTTTTCGAGACAGGGTTTCCCTGTGTAGCTTTGTGCCTTTCCTGGAACTCACTTGGTAGCCCAGGCTGGCCTCGAACTCACAGAGATCCACCTGCCTCTGCCTCCCGAGTGCTGGGATTAAAGGTGTGTGCCACCACTGCCCGGCTTGAGCAGGTTTTACAGCTCTATTAGGAAGGGGTCTTCTCCGGAGGATTTCACTCTCTAGGCTCCCTGCATTGCGACAAAACTCACAGCAACAGCAACTTGAGGGTCAGCAGCAGGACTCCGTGGGTAAAAGCACTTGCCTCCAAGCCTGACAACCCGAGTTCAGTCCTAAAATCCGCATGGTGGGAGGAGAGAACTGACTTCCAGGAGTTGTCCTCTGACCTCTACGTGCATACCATGCACAAGTGTGCACACACTCACACGTGCAATATATAAATGTAAAAACAAAACAAAACAAAACAAAAACGAGCAAAAAAGCCGCAATGCAATCTAAGGAGGAAAGGGTTGATTTTGGCTCACAGCTAGATGGTACTGTGCACCATGGTAGGGAAGGCTTGGCGGCAGGAGTGTGAGGTGGCTGGACACAGTGAGGCTGTAGACATGAAGGACAGAGAGAAGAAAGCTAGTGATGAGCTCACTTGGTTCTTTCTAGCCAGTCCAGCGTGCTGGCCTGTGAGTGAGGCCACCCATACATAGGGCTCATCTACTGACATCAGCTAACCCAACCTAGAAACTACCTTACATGTATCCCCAGATGTTTCTCTCTTAAGTGATCCTAGACCCTAACAAGATGTCACTCAACATGAACCACCACAGTGACCTCATCCCAGGCTGGTGGAAAGTCCTATGGTGACCACCACTGCTTCCTGGGCTGGGATTCCCAACACGGTAGCAGGCAGGTGCTGAGCAAGACTAACTGGACTCAGAAAGTTCATCTGGACACTCTTCTGCCCTCGGCCTAGGAGCACCCTCTTCACCAGGACCTAGACCAGCACATCCTGGGTGTCCAGATGGGAAGCCATGGCTCTGACTCTACAAAGGTTTCATTTAGACTCGAGGGCCAATGCACAGGTTCCTATAAAGCCTCAGAGACAATCCCTTTGTGGTCCTCTGTGCCCCTTCCCCGTCTTGTCCTGATTGTCATCTCCATGCCTTTTCTCTTCTACCCCCACCTCTGTCTCTATTTTTACTTCCCCCAAACAAACCTCCTGGGGGCAGGGGGACAATAAATAAGGCCACAGAGGGGAAAGGAGGCAAGAAAAGTGAAAGGAAGAGTGTTTTATACCCAATTCCCATCCAGGGCTATAGAATGGGGAGGCCAGGGCTGCCCTGGGAGGGGAGGCTGGAGGAGAGCAAAGCCAGTGTGTACCGCACCAGGCTTTGACACCAGGAAAAGAAACCCGGACTTGCAGGTGTGGTGAGGAGAGTCTGTTTGGCATCAGGAATAATCTTGATGGCTGAGTCAGAACAGAACTGACAAAAGCTGGAGCCAGGCTCACACTGCCAGCCACTAGTCACTGGACCTGAGCAACAAAAGACAGGAAACACCAGTCTCCTATCGTGGGGTAACAGGGTAATGGCAGCCCAGGACTGCAGCTGGTGAGGCAGGGAACCACACAAGGTGAGGCAGGCAGTTCCACTTAGACTTCTACCATGGCACTTTTCAGGTGAATGCAGGGCTACTGGTATGGAGCAAATTGGAGATCAAGATGGCTTGTAGGGATGAATTCTGTCCCTCCCCCATTTTCCTGTAGAAGTTCTAACTCCCAATACCTCTGTACATGACTCCCCTTAGAGATAAGGCCTTTAAGACTAATGATTAGATTAAAATAAGGTTCTTGGAGGGGGCACTATTCCAGTTGTTCTTTAAAAAAAATCATTGTACATATAAACATTGTACATGGTACTGTGTTGCGTAAGGATACATTCACATTACTATGAATTGAGTACAAGCCCTCATGCATCCCCTCTCCTCTTTCTCATGCAGTCCGTGTTCTCTCTGTGTGTGCACGCACATGTGCGCATGCCAGAGGCTGATGTTAAGTTTCTTCCTCTTGCTTTCTACCCTACTTTTTGAGGCAGAATCTCTCACTGAACCCCAAACTTTCCAACGCAGCAAGACTGGCCAGTCAGCCAGCCCCAGGAATCCTCCTGTCTCTGCCTTCCCAGGGCTGCGATGACAGATGTGCACTGCCTTCCCCAGCTGTTTTATGTGGGGTCTGGGGATCCTCACATGTACGCAGCAAGCACTTAACCAACAGAGCTGCTGCCTCAGCCTACAGTCTGAGGGGGTTTGTTGTTGTTTTAATGATTATGGATACATGATCTGACTGTGTAGCTCTTGCTGGGCTTGAACTCACAGAGATCCGCCTGCCTCTGCCTCATGAGTGCTTACATTAAAGGAATGTGCCACCACACCCAGCGACAACCTGTGTTTTTTTTTTTTTTAATAAGAGAATATTCTATTTGGGAGCTACAGATAAACACCTGGTTTTCTACCTGAGGGTCCTACAGCAGCCCTGGTGGGTAAGTGGCTGAGGGCTGGGTCGCTATGCAAAGAGAAGACTTCTTAAAGCTGTTGGGATCGGAGAACAGAACAGGGTCACCGCAGTTCATGCAGGAGCTCAGATAAGCCCAGAGGGTGGGGTGAGGTGGGGGATGGGTAGTAAGACCTCCAGCAAGCCTTCTGGAGTGATCCTAGTGGACCTCACCTTCAGAGCAACAACTCTACCCCAGGGCAAATGCTGTACTGTAGGGTCATAGGAAGGAGAGAACTTCCAGCCCTCCAGGATCAGTAACTATCAGAGCAAAATTCAATATATTTTAAAGGAAGAGAGTATAAAATATATTTGCTATTGGACATTATTCACAGTGTCCAGAAGGTCACGACAATATTTTTGACATAAGAAATGGGAATATGGCCGGGCGGTGGTGGCGCACGCCTTTAATCCCAGCACTTGGGAGGCAGAGGCAGGCGGATCTCTGTGAGTTCGAGGCCA